TTGATTGTGAGAGGTGGAGGCGTTTGAAAACCGATCTAGCAATGGCGAGTTCCAGCAGTACTCACTTGCCAGTGAGGCTGTCTCTTTTGAAGCTGTTCAGGAGCAAGCTAGTGGCGGGTTTGACTCTCTGGCGTTTGCAGTTACCAGTGTGTCGTGGAAACAAATGTTTGAGTCGTAAAGAGATTAGTTTTCCACTCGACAGCGTCGCTACTTGACAGCAACATTTCCAAATGCAGGCTTGCAAGAAGCTTTTGAGAATACCACATCTTTTACCACTGTTTGGATTAGTTTTTTTTATGGCGCCTTTCAGCTAAAATTATAAATCGCCTGGCTGTCTGCTTGCAGTTAATTTCTTAATGGAGTAATTTTCTCAGTAAAAACTCTGGAAGCGACAAGTTTCAGTTTGATGTCACTGCCGATAAAAAGTTTTAGAACATGTCTTCTGGAGTTAGAATGTTCCAACTAGTCAGTGAGCTGTCTCACTGGGAGGATTTTGGGTTGAAAAGCAACATGGCATTAGATCTGTAGCACCTTTACCTCGAAATATGCGTATTCCAAAACGGGAACGGTTACGAGCCAAAGAAGTACCGCAAAGAGCTGGATGAAGTCCATAAATTTTGGGTAATAGCTATTCGTTGTAATATTGGTAGGACTCAAATCGTTGTGTTTGAAAGTTCGCCACGGGGTAAGTCATACAACTGGGCAAGGCACATCGCGCTTATTTTCCGTTATGTAAATCGTGGAGGAAAGCGAATACTGGTACAAAGGTGTTCTCGACGCTGCGGCTTTAGGGACTTTTAACTGTTTTTGTTTACCAATAAATCTAAAGCATTGAATACCAGAACTTCCATATTCACAAGCATTGGACAAAATCATTCGGATGAGCAGGTTTTGAGATCCGCAACAATGGCATAAATTTCACGTCCTTTGGTCTCCGGTAAGTAACGGTAAAGGAAGAGAATAGAGGCGACCGATGGAACAGCATACAGTACCAGGAACGCAGAATTGCCGATTGCATCGTAGAGTGGAAGAATCGTGAATGTGGTGATCGCGACAACCGCTGCATTTAGTGTATAACACAGCGACTGGACCAGTGAACGATTACGTTGCGCAACCAATTCTGTGCACAGAATCCAGCTTGGTGGACCAACGCCCATCCTGGAACATAGCGAATTATTACAGCCGAAGTGAGGGTATCTCTGTCGGAAAGGACTTTCCACAAGTTCTGTAGATAAACCCAGGCTGGAACGCAGCAGGCGAGCCGGTGCGATCATGCGTTTTTGCATCAAACTTTGAGGTA